GGCCCAAATGTCATAACACCTGGCACCCTGGGCCCCAAGTGGGGGCTACTTGGAGCTTCAGGAGATGGTGTCCTGGGGCATGCATCCTGTGTAGGCAGGGCCCTTTGGTCACAATCACAGTCACAGTGGGGAGGCGCCCTCAAGTGGCTTCACTGCAGCAGACCAGAAGGAGAGATGAAGCCCAGAAAGTGGGTGCCCTCCTCTTCCCAGAAATCATTTGGCAAGACTTTGGAGAAAGCCAGGAAGATAGGCTTGCAAATGGGTCAAGAGCCACTGAGACAGGATGATAATTGATAATGTGTTCCCATTTCTATTCACAGGAAAGAGAAATGAGAGATGAATGTAGTATGTAAGAATATGATTCTTTTACCCCTGCACTGGGTCTCAAACCCAGGAACACTCTACCACTGAACTAGTTGCTGAGACTGGCCTCAGACTTGCCATCCTCCTGCCTCAGCCTCCTGAGTCACTGGAATTACAGGCATGTACCACTGTACCTAACTAAGAATATATTTTATTCCTCAAAATTTAAATTTAATCCCCAAACAAAAGTACTTTTAAAAATGTCATTTAATATTTTCTCATTATAAATCAGTACTTGCTTGTGAAGAAAATTTGAACAATATGGAGAAACCACAGTAAGAAAATTAAAAAGAATCTCAGAGATAACCACTCTTTACATTATATATTATGAATATTGTTTTGTAATTTACATTATCCACTTAAAAGTGTATCATGAATCTTTACGCATGTCAATAAACATTCTTATACATGATTTTTTAATGGTAGTTTAGTATTCCTTTCTGTAGGCCTGCCAAAAATTATTTAACCAACCTTTCTATTAGACATTAAGGTTATAGAACTCTTAACCATGAAATAGATCTGTAAACAGCCCTGTAAACAAATCCATGCACACTTACATAATGAATTTCTTAGGATAAATTCTCAGGAAGATAATTGGGCAAATGGTATGCAGATTTTTTAAAGGCTTTTGCCCTTAGCAGCATTGTTTCAATTTATACTCCCACCTACAAAATCTGGTTCCTATTTCCCCAAACTCTTGCCCAATTTTGGTATTTTCAATTTTTTTTTGTGGCAACATTTAAATTCCCATTCCCTGATTATTAGTAAGGATAAGTGAAACATATTTTTCACTATTTCCACTTTTTTCTAATGTATTGCTTATATATCATTTATTTTAATTGAATGCTTATACTTAGTTATTATTGGACATTTTCTACTGTTTGTGTTCAGCTCTTATTAATTTTTAGGAGTTCTTTATATAATAATATTATTATCTCCCTGGTTGTCATGTTATGAAGACTTGTCTTTTAGCTTTAAACATATATATGTTTATTAGATAAGACAATATACATGATAAGATATATTAGATAAGACAATATACATTAGATAAGACATATATTGTATATACATGTAAATAATATATACATATATATTATTTATGTCTATATATAATATATATATGTATATATTATTTTTATATATGGCAATATATATAATGTATATATGTTTATATTGCCTTATCTAAGTTTTAGATTTTTCTGTAGTCTAAATTGACAACTTTGGTGTTATATAAAGAGATTTTCTCTGTATTGAGAGTTAAAAAATATAAGTTTCTATTTTACCTCCACTTTTTTCTCTAATTATTTTTGTTGTGGCAAAATACACATCAGAACCATATTTATATGTATAATCTATGGTACTTAAATACATTCATGATGTGGTGCAACCATCAACATCACCCATCTTTCTAACTCTTCTTTTTGAGACTCTATACACATAAAACAACAATTCTTGTTCCCTCTACCTCCGGGTAACTCCTTTTTGTCTCTATGATTTTTAGTATTCTTAAATACCTCATGCAAGTGGAATCATTCACTATTTTTATGACTAGCTTATTTCACTTAACATAGTATCTTCCAGGTTCATAGTGCCCTCTCTACTTTTATAATTTTCTCATTGACCTTTAGACCTTTAATTCTTCTTGCATTTATTTAGATGTCTGACAATAGGTAGGTATCTAATTTATTTTTTTCAATAATTTGGCCATTTTTCTCAACATTATAAAAATGTGATTGTTTTTATAAATATAAAACATTTGAATTTCTTCCTAAATGAATATCTATGTATGTGCCTTCATCTCTCATTGATTGGAAAGTACACTACATTTTGAAGCTATCGATCCTTTTTTGTTCATTCATGTTGCAAGTGTTTTCCCAGTTTGTCTTCTAAGAATAAACTCTCATAGTTTTTCTTTTGACATACTGAGGATTTAGATTTTCTTTAGTCATATTAATCTTTTCATTTATGGTTTCTGAATTGGTAATTGTGCTTAAAATGGCCTTCCCTGTGGCTTTGTAAATTGTCACCTATAGTTGTTCCATTTTCTTCCTTCTTCTTTTACTTTTATCTTCAACTCTAATTTTTTTATAATGTATGTTGGTGTGTTATATTAGGCAAAAACCTAATCTTTCCCCAAAAGAGTTACCCAATAGTCCCCTTATATTTTATTGAAAAATATTTTACTTTATTATTTGAAATGTCGCCTTTATCATACACCAAATTCTTAACATGTACCAGGTCCTATATTCTTGCCAATGTACTGCATCTGCCCTGTTTTTAATTCTGAGATTGTCTCCTTGCAAAACCCCAGACCTGGATGAATATAATTCTCCCTTCTCCCTACTCCTCCTCTCTGGCTGCTGAGAGCTGCTGGAGAAATTCAGTTCCACTAGTTGGTGCTGCTCCAAATTCATGTTCAAGGTCAGCCTCAGCTAGATCTTCAACTTGGCTTAGCAACTCCCAGTTCTGTAATAGTAATTTCAATGCTCTGCCTCATCACCTGCATGTAACCTCACATTCTACCTAAGAAAAAAATAGAACTTCTGTTGGAACTTTCTCAATTTCCACCCACCTGCCACCCTTCCCTCCTTGAAGAACAATAGTCACCAATGTTTACTGAGTGTTTACTGTATGCCAGGCACTATTTTAACCACTTTACATGTGGTTCATCCTCACACAAGACTTTCAGGTAACAGGAAAGAAAACTGAGAGCAACTTATGTAATTTGCTTAAAGTCTCACTACTAATGACTGAAAACTGAGGTTTAAATCCTGGAAGTGTCTTCAGAGCCCAAGTTCTTGACCACTTCTCTGAGTTATTTCTTTCAGCTCTGCTGTTTTTATTAAACTAGTTTTAATCTTTGTTCTCTGCTGTGGTGGTAAAATAACTCACTTAATCATTCAACCATTCCTGGTCTCTTCTTGAAGGAACTATGGTAGGAACAATGGTAGGAACTATGCTAGGGACCTAACAGGAAGCAAAACCAGGTATGGTCTCTCTCCTTCTAAAGCAAATGGTCCATTTGGACCATTGATAGAATTGACCAATGAATCACACCAATAAACTCAAAACCACATCCCAAATAAATGTTCTAAAGGGGAGTACTATAGTTCTATGGCAGTGGACAGCAAGGGCTAAGGGTTAAGGAGAAGTGTGTTGTGGGGTAACAATGGAGCTGAGACCAAACGATGAGGGAGAGTTTAATAGGCAAAGACAGTGCCATCAAAAGGCTCCACACATACTCACAGAAAAGTGGGGAGGAGGATCTTGCTAGGCAGATCTTCACAGACATAGGACCCCTCTGGTGTTTTCACTCAGGCTCAGTCCATACCTGCCTAGAACTGAATAATGACCTTGGGTTTAAATGGTATGAAAAGGAAAGCGGTGAGTTCTCCATTCGCTAGTGCCCTGGGTAACTGCAGCTCTTCTACACCGTGACCTGCCCTGTCCATACATACATATATGATACTGAAATGATGACATTTAACCACAGGCTCCCTTGACTTTCGAAATCTTAACAGCTCTTGTTGAGAGAGTGTTAGTTCAGTTCTCCTGATTAGAGTCACCAGTTACAAGCAGGGGGTGCCGGTTGGGTAGTGGGTAAGGATAGCACAAAAATCTTGAAAGGGGCTCGTTCCTACCATTTTCTTTGGGCCTCTTTGCAATCCTTCATTTTGGTGACTTGTTGTTTATGGGAGAGAGTGAAAGGGGAGATGAAGATGACAGACAGGTGTCAAGGTCACATGCTTGGGAAGAAACTATCCACGTGGAAGCAGATTCTTGGTGATGTTTTAAAGCTTTATGCTGGTACAGCTGGCCAGGGCATATATACGACAGCAATAATGACTGGCAGTTTTGAGACCTTAAAAGTGTGCTCAATATCATACTAAGCCATTAAGTCCTGGATAGCTTTTGTTGCAGAAAAGGGGAGGAAGGGAGGCAAGGCTGATGTTTAGTTGAAAATGTACTTTCAGAAGGAATAATTGCTGGCCACTGTCTCAGAGCAGCCTGCCATAACACTGTATAAATGTTCTAACATTCATCAATCTGAGGCTGCATAAAGGAAGGAGCTCTGGGGGATGTCAGGCAGGGACATGATTGGAGGCCACATAGGGGGCAGTTAAAGCCTGCTCTCAGAGCCTGCCAGACCTGTGTTTCACCGTCCTGGCGATTCGGAGCTCCTCCTTCATTCTGTGACCTCCCAGATGGAACACAGGGGCCCACTGGTTGTGGCATCTCCCTTGTCTTGCTGCAGAAGCACTCCCATCTCAGAGGAATCTTCTGGCGGATTCTAGGACCCCCCACACTAGTCCCAATTTGCAAACGAAGACTTGGGAAGTATGGAGTTTACTGAAGTTATCTTGACACCTCCCTTACTGTGACTGCTGAGGCCTTCTGATAACCCCGGGAATTCCCACAGGTCTCCCTGAATTCTTTCTTGTAAGAAAAACAACCCCCTTCCTGCTCTGGAGGAACTATGACCTGGCACTTCTGGAACCATAACAAGACACTCAGGTTCAAATTCAGGTTCAGGATTCAGCTTGTCCTCTCGTCAGAGAGGATAAAAGAGCCAAGAGAGAGGGAAAATGTCCATGTGAGCAGTCATGTCTTTGCTTATCTTTATTTATTTTAAAAATAGTTATCTAGAATCTTGGAGCTTACATTTCTTTTCTTTTCTTCAGGGCTCTGGCATGGACCCTGGGTGCAAAGTACACATAGTGGGGAGGTGGCCTACAGAAGTGGGAAGTCATCCTAAGGGATTAAAGGCAAAGGTAAGTCCATAGGCCTTCTGAGACCTTAATCATCATTTATGGCTGGGATGCTGACTTGTTTGAGAAACAGCAGGGCTACTGCTGCCAAACAAGACTAAATTTATAAGCAAATGAGGCATTGCTGTGATAGTGTTAAACACTGGGCAAATTAAATGAATTGTTAAATGTTGACTATCACAGGCCTTAGAGGAAACTTTTTCTCCTTCTGTCTGCTCCCCAGGACCCATTTGGTCCTTTATGTGATATGTATTTACTTGAGGTGGAAGCGTTATTAATGCCCACAGGGTTTGAGTATCCATTTTGGCTTCTTGAATTTAGAGGTAAATATGTAATGTGCTTGCTCAGGAGTAATCTTTGGTGGGGATGTTTACCTTGCCTGTGAAATGTATGGAGGTATGAAATCCCCCCTACCCCCCCACCCCCACCCCCAAGTGGCGCTGTCCCTTTTCCAGGAAAGGAATCCCTTCTGGATAAGTTCTGTTCAAGGTCAAGAAACAGAAAAATCAATTCAAAAGAGCTCAAACAATGAAGGGATTTATTGACTCTTATAACTTGAAAAGCAGAAGTAGTGGGGTAGATTTCAAGGCTGGTTAGATTCAGTAGCTTAGTGAGGAAATGAAAAACAGTGTCTCTGCTTTCTCTGTGTTCTGACTCCATTCTCTCTGAAAGTTCATGGTGGCAAAATGGCTGCAGCAGTTCCTGGCCTCACATATGCCCACCATGCTCTCCAGAAGATGAGTAAATGTCTTTCCCTAGAGTACTGTCAGAAAGGTGAGCGAGCATGTAAATTTTTCAGAAGCCTCTCACCTTATGGCCCAGAGAAACGAATTGTGTTACATGCCCACTGGGGAGTTCTATGGGTTGATTGGATTAGGTGACTGCTGTGTAAAGGATTTGTGATTGTCCCAGTTAGCTTAGACTAAAAAGAACTCAAAACTGACACAGTCAAATCATATGGCTGCTACACAGTGGAGATAGGTAAGGAGTGGGTATTGAAGACATTACCATACCCTCCCTAGAATTCCCAGCAGGTGGTTACCCAGTGATAGGTCCCATGGATGTTTCTCTCGCCTGGGCTGAGGACCAAACTCAGGGCTGTGTGCGTGCTAGGTAGGTGCTCTGCCATTGAGCTAAATTCCCAGCCCCAAGTCCCATGGAGGGAATGCTCATTACATGGAGGCAGCCCATGCTGTGGTAGGGTGGCCCTGACCGTGGCATGGTCCCTTTTTGTGTAAGATAGCAGCTGCATCAGGAGTCTTCTCCCATCTCTGACTCACAGATCAAAGCCAGCTCTTCCTTCAAGAACTGGCTCTTCTTCCTTTTGAACAGAGGAGCAAGTGAGAAACTGTTTTCAAAGGAGCAAGGCAAATGAGTTGACTGTCCTTCCTTCCCTTCCTTCCTCAGGGCTTCAGGTCAAGCAGGCCATTCTTGGAGGAATGTCTTAGCCCAACATCTGTGATGAGGAGAGGAACATTAATGATATCCACAAAGAGATGGGGGAAGAGATGCTTAAGATATTTGCTTTAGGATATTTGTGTCTCCAGCACAGGCTGCCTCTTTCCATGTGGTGTGTCTTTCTCAGGCCAATGTGTGGGAGGGAACTCCTCCCACAGAGCCAGTTTAGGATATATGGCATTGTGATGTATTTGGAAATGATAAATTGCCCTGGTCCCAGGGTGTGTGTTATGAACGGAATATCTTTCAAACACCTTAAGTACTGTAATTTCAGTGGCAAAATAAGCTACTTCTAGCCCCAAATATCAACAAACTGACCTAGATGTATATTTTACCCTATAGCCCAATGCCATAGAATGCAATTAGGTCACTAAAAACAATGATATAGGGTAATACAGTATATATTATTCTAATCCTTACTCCTCATTTCTTGTTTATGCCTAATGCATTTGAAGAAACTTCTTAAATTGGTAACTGTTGGCAAATGCTGGACAATAAACCCCATGAGAGCAGAAGTCATTGTTACGTTAACTTTGTCTCCCAGCACCTAAACCTGGGACATAATAGATTCTCAATAATTGCTGTAGAGAGGAAGAAAAGAATAAAAGAAGGAAATAGAGAATCTCTTATGTTATTACTTTGCTTAGAGGAACTACTTCTAACTTTTTGTAATTTAACATAATTTTGACTTTTGTTTTAAAGTGGACACTCTTAAAAGTGTTAAAAAGTGCTTTATGTCAATATTTAGTACTGTTTTTTTTCTTTAAAGATACTCCCTTGAGTAAATGCACTCTACTGTCATGTATAACTAGTTAAAACAAATTAAAAAATTAAAAGAAAAAAAGATACTCCCTTGATTTTGTAGGAATTGACAGAGTAAAGTAAAGCACCAGGGCTTTCCCTCCCATTTTTCAATTAAATGTCCACAAAGATTTTTAAATAGAAAAAAAAAATCTCCCCCAGCTTCAGGAACTTGGGATAAGAATTAAGCATGTGTCAGAACCTGGGAGGAGCTGGAACTAAATACAGCTGCAATGGAGCTGGATTAACAGCTAATTCCTCTGTGCCTTTTAGTGTAAAAGAACACTGACTAAGTGAGAAACAGCCTTGGCTGGTCCCCACGAGTGGCCCCCACCTTACTGCTTTGCCAGCAGGACTCACCAGGCTTCTCTTAGCAGTGCCTGGCCTCCAGCTTCCCTGCAGCACATAAATGGCTATCCCTGCCAGAGAAGGGGAGGTGAGCCTGGGGAGGTCAGGGCAAAGGCTGTTCTCTGGAGTAGACCATGCCAGGGCTAAGATAAAGGAGGCAGCTGAAATCCCTCCTTGGACTTCCTTACAGTCTTATGCACAAGCAGGACTTAAAATACACAACAGTGTTCTGTTTTCTTGGCCCTTGTTTTCTGAAACAATATCCATACTTGCAAGCAGGTATTTCTCCCTGGCCATGCTGTGTAGGGGCTCTTGCTTGGAGACTTGCATGGAGAACTGAGATGGGGGTCTATGAAGTAAAAAGAAGATGAAGTTGCTCTTAGTCTCAGGTCCAAAGGAGCTTAATTAGTATCCACAGTGCAAAGGGAACTATCCCAAGGAGCCAGTGATATTCCAAGCACACTAGGCACTTCTCCCTGTGACACTACTTGCTAAAAGAAGCTATATCAGCTGGGCACAGTGGCATGTGCCTGTTGTCCCAGTGACTCAGGAGGCTGAGGCAAGAGGATAGAATTTTCAAGGCCAGTCTCAATTATTTAGTGAGGCCCTAAGAAACTTAGAGAGATCATGTTTCAAAAATAAAAAAGGATTGGACATATAGCTCAGTGTGGTAAAGAGTCCCTAGGCTCAATTCCCAGTACCAAAAAAAAAAAAAAAATGTACACCAGAAAACAGAGTAGACATGGGCAGCATTAGAAAAATCACATGACTCTGAAGACTGAGACTTTCTTGAAGTACATCTACTATAGTAGAATTTAAGGTCCAAGGGGGTAGACTCTTTTCCATTTGTTTTATCTTAGCTCCTAGAGTTGGGCTTGACATCTCTTAGTCACTTAATAAACATGTTTTAAAGAAAGAAATCCAGACAGGCACAATTCACAAAAATACCTGTTTTGTAATTTTAATAAGTAGAAAGCAACCATTTTCTCTATTAAAAAACATCAGGCCATATAGTCAGGTGTGGTGGCACACACCTCCCAATGACTCCAGAGGCTGAGGTGGGAGGATTATAAGTTCCAGACAGCCTGAGCAACTTAGTGAGTCTCAAAAAGCGGGGTGGGTGGGTGGATGGGATGTAGCTTAGTAGTAGAGTACCCTCAGTAGTTAAAAAAAAAAAATCAAGCCATTCGATGTTTGAAAAGTCCAATCTTTGGAGCCATAAAGCTGTCCCTCCTGAACCATGATGTTAAAATGTGGGTTTTGATTCTGTAGTTTTGGGGTGAGGCCTGAGTTTCCACGAGGAACTTCTGAACTTACTCTCTGAACAGGGAGGATTTAAAAGTCTTGGAAGTAGCTCTGTGCAGGAGTTAATTATTTCTGTTTCCACCTCTCACACCAAGAGGGACAGCTGACATCCCATTAGATACAGAAAGGACAAAAGATGGACCAATGGGAAGTTAATTATTCTAGATGTTAAAAAACCTACATACAGAAAACAGTGTATATTTTGATTCAAATTCAAAAGAAATGATTTTCTTGGGCAGCCTTGCTATTCAGAAAGAAAAGCTTTTCATTGTGCTTTGATTAAAGGTAAGCCACTTTCTTAATCTAGACCCATTCACTGAACAGCTGGACAAATCCTAGTTTGGAAAATTATTGCCAAATGTTGTAGAATCTCCCTTGCCATGGTGGTTCTACAATTTGGTTGGAATTTTGTTCTTGGGCAGATGGATGTTTGGGAAATTATTTTGCTTCACTGAACATTGCAGACCCTGAGACTTGTGCGTGATTATTACCAAAACCACTGCTAATGAACACTTTTCCAAATTATGACTCATTCCCCTGAGCTGACTCTTCACAGCGTCTGCTTAGCCATACCCGTCCTGATCACTCCTTTTGTCATCTGACTTGCAGACGGGTGCCTGATCTCCTTTGATATACTGTACATGACATCCTAACAAACCCTTCTCTTTAATCAAAGGAATCAGACATATGCCACCGTCAGAAGTCGGGGTGGGGCGAACACGGAGCAGATGTGTTCCTGCAGGTCAGATGGAATGAATGGATTTGGAACATACACTTGGCATAATCTTTAAAATCAACCCTAGGATCTAGTTTTAAAATAAAACCTCACATTTTTCACAGGGCAGAGACATTGTAGCCAGCAACTTTTAGCAACAGCAGGAAAACAAAAGTCCTGAGATAACTTTTCATGAGTCTGCTTAGGGGTCTAGCATTTATGTGCAGAAATTCTTGAGCTGGAGAGTCTCCCCTTTCTAGATATCTGAGGAAAAAAGTACTTCCACATTCAAATACCAAAACAAAATGTGAATTTTAAAGCAGTCTTTTATTTAAGACAAATATACAACTTGCCTAATGTAACTTTTAAAAATAATATTGCCAGATGTAAATCTACAGTAGGATAGAAATAGGTTTTGGTATATTTTTTCTAACAACTCAGCAGAGATATTTTCTTTTGTAAAGGGAGAGATGCTTAACAAAAGGTTGGTAATGACAGACATGTTCAAGAAGTGCTGAGATGAGATGCAGATGTGGAACCAGAGGTTGGACTAATTATCTAGGAAAGTTCCTTTTAATCCTGAGATACCTGAGATGCTGTGTCTTATACAACCACCCATTTCCTCCACCCAACTCAGAGCAGCTACATGTGGCTGAGGAAGGGCCATGTGTGATATGGCCCTTCCAAACTTGCTCATTTGGGACCTTCAGTGTGGCCTGCCTGGACTGTTCATCACAGTCCCCAATTCTGCCCTGCACTGGCTCTTCCCTAATCCTGCCTTTCCTGGCAGATGACATCTGCTTCCTTTCAGCCCTTCCCTTTTGGCTGTCAGTGTCAGCTCTGGGAAGGAAGAGACCAATCTAACTCTTCTTCTAGAATTTCTCTCCCTTACCTGTAAACAAGCTCCTTATTTTCATTTTTTTACCTCTAGACAGGGTGAGAAAATAGAAAGGCTATATTCTTTCTTTATAAAGATTTGAATCCTTGCTCTGCCACTTTCTGTCCAATGAATGATCTTGACAAAGTTGGTTAGTCTTTATGACCCTCTTTGGTGACCTTATTACCCAACATGTATTGAGCTTCCACTGCATGTCATACAGTATATGGAAGATGTGGTAGTGAATAAGACACCACCTCTTCCCCCAAGGAACTCATAATCTAGTGGGGGAGGTAGAAATAAACAGGCAATGACAATGGTAGATGAAGGTAAAAGTTGGGTTATTATAGGACACAAGAATACATACAGGAGGAGCAGCTCCCTACCCTCATCTTGGAGAAGGTATTTTCTGGTGAGAATGAAGGATCAGTAAGTGCTAATAAGATGAAGGATTGGGTGAAGCATAGAGAACATGGAGAGTTTGGGGACTTGCAAGTTGTTCTTCATTGTTTTTCAGGGCTATCATTTAGAATTAGGGAGGGAGTGAGAGGAGAAAGGGAGGTGAGAAATGAGAATTGGAGACGATCAGAAGCCAGAGCACAAAGCCTTGTAAGTTTTGACATGAGGAATTTTGATCCTGAATGATATTGAAGGAAATGAGAGGCCTTTATTCTTCCCCTGTCCATCCTGCATTAGCAAGACCAATAGCTCCCAGAGCCTATATGTATTGACACCTCCTCTAGTTGCTTCCAACCCCCATAAGCCAGAACCTGGTTTCTTTGGCTCAAGTGAGAGATGATGCTGTTCTGCATTAATGTCATGGCCACAGACATAGAGAAAAGTGGATTGTCTGGGTGCTAAGAAGACAGAATCTTCCCATGTAGAGCGGGGCATTGAAGATACAGAGATGAGCAAACATGGAGACCAAAATTGACCCAAGAAGTTTAAAGTTGCAATAGTGACAAGTGCTATGTAGGTTTTGCCCTGCTACATCAAGCCTGGTACAATTAGAGCCTTTAATGGGAAGAGA